ATACACCTTTACATATCCCCTATTTAGTCCTTTAACTGTCATGCCTTAAAGATTATGGCTTAGGGGTTAGGGATTAGGGATTGGGGAAATCCAATATAAATTCCAACCTCCATCTAGACTCATCTCCCGGGCTCAGGGATGATAGACCTTGATCCTAAACCCAGTCCCACAAAGCCTAAAGTGTTAAAAAGCGTAAGCGTGGGCTGAGGGCTGGAAGGGCTGGAGGGGCTGGAGGGCTGGAGGGGCTGGAGGGGCTGGAGGCTGAGAAGGGCAGCCCCTGCAGTTGGAGGGGGGCTGCAGGGGGCTGGAGGGTTGGGGCCCAAAGGAGCGCTAAGAAATTCGGCCCAGTTTGGCTGCTGGGCCTGGGCTAAGAAATTCCAGTCTGCCTGATTTCTTGTTTGGAACGATTTCTTATTGAGTGCGCTCACCGTACTGTGGCCTAAAATTGAAGTTCCCTTCCGGATGTATAAAAATGAGGCGGCCTCGGGCCACGGGCTTCGGAGATAGTGTAAATGACCTGTTAGACCTATTTAAGATTCCGGGTGTTAAAAGTAGGCGGCGTACAGTGTACAGAAGACAGCCGAGCGGGCGTCTCGTTTTCCACTACGCGCTACTCGAGTATAGACTCCCTAGAAGTTTGAGAGCGGCAACAGCAGCATGCAGTTGTGTCACATGAACGGTACATGGACTTATAGCAAAGCAACAGGGCATATCCCATACCTCCTTGCGGAAAGAGCCTTGAGTTCATAGCTCGCCGGCAAGCTTAGTTTTGCCTTTAACTTTTGCTTTGGTTTTGCCCTGGCCCTTCGAACTGCCTTTGGCTTACTGTCCTGTCGATTTGCCTCTTGCCTTTCCTTTCTGGACTTAAGTCTTTGGATCTTCTTCGTTGGGAAAGGACCACAGATAATGTTTGTGTATAAACTCTAACGCCAATGTATTTCCCCATTCTCATTTCAGTCTTTTCAATTGACTCTGAAGTCTTGACGTCCATAAGATCAGACGAACCACGTCATAGAGTCATAAATTGCTGAAAACGGTATAAGATGACATCGACATTCCCTTTCACGAAGACAGGCCTCAATATGCCACACCATCTTCCTTGTTTTTCAGCTAATCTCTGTCTTGGATCTTCTTGTGTTTGGTTTCTCGCCTTCAAGTCAGTTCCTGAGTTTCTCATCGTCCAGTTCAGTGATGTCACAGCAGTCGTCCATTGCATCTTCAAATGCAAGCCATGATGTTCTTCCATCGAATGAAGATGGCATTTTCGTCGTTGCTTGGGATAATTGACTCATACGAGTTATGTTATACATTTACATTGCTTGCGTAGTATACGCGTCATCATAGAGGTTTTCATCACCGTGTAAAAATCTTCGGCCATGGCTTCCTGTAAGCTTGCAGGAGCTCTCTCCTTTCGAGCCCCTGCGCGTCAGGGTACTTTGGGGCACTTCCGAGTGGTCAGAGCCTCCCCCGGGGAAAGCTCCACTACCACGTTGAGATTGGCCTGAGCGTGAACTACCTCGCTACGATGTACAGTAGACAGGCGACCAGGCTTCTCTTTTCCACTACGCCACTGGAGTATGGACTCCCCCGACCTTGAAAGAGAGCGCCAACAACAGCATGCAGTTGTGTCACATGAACTGTACCTGGACTGATAGCAAAGCAACAGGATTGTAACTAGCTCACACGCGGCACCGCGCGGCTTCAATTTTCCAAAGCTCGCTTAATCTCCCTGCTGTCCCTGCTTCTGAGAAATCTAACTTGGTGTTGCTTTGCGAGGCAAGAATGCTGCGACTGAAAAGAAGTCTGCTTTTCGTTCTTCTTCTGCGCCGTGTCAATCCTAAGCCATAAACCGCATCACCTCTTTGACCTAGTCAAATGGCCGCAAACGGCTCTTCAGAAACTGCTTTCCCTTGAACCAGTGTGGCTACGGGCTTGCATCAATGCATTCACGTGAGCCGCATCCAAATGCGCAGCTGCGCTCGATGAAAGAGCCTTCACTTTCCATGATGTTGTACCTAGAGCAATTCTTCTGCACTTCTTTCATGGTGATTGATCGAAAGGCTTTGGTCGACCCTCAAGTAAGTAGCTTCGACGAAAGGCAAACGGTTGTACACTCCAGGCCACGGGGTTGAGCAGATGCAACTGAACCAAGAAGCAAGCTCACGCGTCAAGAAGTGTGAGATTCATCTGTTCACCTGGTGTTCACCTGGTGTTCACCTGGTGTTCACCCCGCTGGTCTCAGGTGGAGGTGGCAGCTCAGCAGACCAACGAACACCTTGTGAAGCTGCTCATGGAAGACTACGCTCTGCGCCCTGCCCTCAGCCGCCTCAGCTGCCTTGCTCTTCTGACCAAAACATGGTCTGGACCTGAGGGGATCATGCTTTGGCCCTGAGGTGGAATTTTGAATTATTTTGATTTTCAATTCCAACATGAGTGAAAGCCGAGCCAGGCGTTTCCTCCTCTTGGGCCAGGGTGACTTCGTTGAGAGCTTGCTGGACGCAGCCCAGGAGGAGCGGTTTGAGAATAGAAGAGAGCGCTCAGCACTGTGCAAGCAACAGTCTTTTGACGTGGCAGCTCCCAAGGAGCTGAACGCAGAGGCCAGCAGCATCCAGCGGCATCAGTTGATGGGTCTTCTGGACATGGCACGGCACCTTTAACTGTGCGCTCAGTGCGCTCAGTGCATGTAGCCTGTGTTGCCTGTGTTCTCTTTGGCTGAGGCGCTGCGGCAGTCCAATGCGCAGTTCTTCAGCTCTGAAGTGCTGGCACGCCTGGGTGTGAAGTTGTTGAGCCCGTCGCCTGGCGAATGTGGATGGGACATCTTCTTGCTGGACTACCAAGTCGACGCTCCGATCAATGCCGGGAACCCAGAATAAATGGTGTCTGTGGAGTCTGTGATATCGTGTTTGGATCAGGTGGTTTTTACACCCGCTGCCATGCGGAAATACGATCGGGCCTTCGCCTTCCTTTGGAAGCTGAGGTGCGGATTCCGAAGTTCGAGACTTCTTAGATTTTGCTTCCCAGCTTTCGTGGCTGTCGTTACTGGTAGCTCTGTGGCTCTGTGCTTAGGCGAGCGTCGCATGCTCTAGCTGCAAGCTGGAATCAACACATGGCGCTTCAGAGACACCTTGTGTGCGGTGCCCGCGACGGGGTGACGGGGGCGAGCAGAAACAGGATACAATCAATCAATCAGCCTCTCAGCCTCTCACTCAGCTTAGGTCTCTGGCTCAATTTAAGCCCGAGATGCGCCAGACGCTGCACCGCTGCACCTGCCTTCGCAACGAGATGCACCACTTCGCTCTGCGCCCAAACCGGGATCATAGGAGCTGCAAGAGCAGCACCCAGGGGGGAGGGGAAAGGAAGGGGCCTCTGCTTGGGACTCAGGTGCAAAACATCCAGAGTTATGTCTTCGAGGTGCTGGACACTTCCTGGGCTAAGCTGCAGGCAGGCTGGCGTGCCTGTGCCGACCTGGACGAGGCCCGGCCCAGCCCAAGAAACCAGGCTGAGAGAGGGAAGATGTAAATTCTTCGATGGAGTGTGTACTGTTCTGTTCTGACTGGAGGTGATCTCTTTGCACGAAGGATATTTGCGAAGCATCGAAGAGGGCGCCTTCCTGGCGCCTGGCTGCGAGGTGTTGGATTCATTGGGCTCGAGGCTTGTTTTGGCTCGAGCTTGAAAGTTTCTCTTTGTGAGGTGGTGCTTGATGGCATCACGGAGCTTCTCTCCTTCGTGGTTGGAGGCTTTAAAGCTTGGTGCACCTTAATGGGGGGGTTCCCAAAATCAGGAAAAACCTATGGGGTCCATATTAGGTTCCCCCTATCTTGGGAAACTACCTATTTGAGACACTTCTGAGGACCAGGGGACTCGACCCACCTCGCGAAAGCACCAGCTTGTGACTTGACATCGTTGAAGCGACCAGGAGCGTTTGGGGTCTCAGCGGCCTTAGCAGTAAAAGATCTGGGGCGTTTGGGCCACGCTTCGTGCTTGGCTGGGAGCATTTCGGACTCCACGTAGGGCCCCACATTCGCTCTGAATTATCGAATTCACTTAAGTCGAAGCCACACCAGTTAAGAATTCGTAATCACAACGCCTGAGATCTTGAAGTGAGGATGGGACTAGCAGCTTAGCCTTCAGGGTGCCTGAACTGCCAGCATGCTTCGGAGGTGGAGAAGGTGGAGAAGGTGGAGAGGCGAACACAGATGTTGCGGGAATCCCCGCTTTTCGGGAAAAAGCAGCTCAAGGAGCTTCTTTAGCCTCGCAGCTTGGCAACCAAGCTCTTCAACGTGGAATTCAAACAAAAAGGTTTTTTCACCTCTTCACCTCTTCGCCTTACAGGACGTGCACGTGGATTTGGAGATTTCTGCAACCTGCAGAACCAGGCCAGGAAAAGAAAGGTGCAGAAGAGCCACACGGTGCTGTCCACGATGCCAATCCAAGGCCTGCGCTGCATCTCTGGAAGCTGCAGAAGCCATGATGGAGGCAGAGGCGGAGGCAGAGGCGGAGGTCGTCAGCGTGTTCCAGGCCCAGACCTTTGCCTAACGCATGGACTAAGGCGGCTCTCGCTGCAAGTGCTCAGTACACAGTATGATACAGTATGGCGTTCATGTAACTGTGGGCTTGCAAAATATTCCAGGTACGAAAAGCCGCATCACGAAGCATCACAAAGTAAGAGAAAGCGTAACAGGATGCGTTTTTATGACATTGTTCAGCTGTGCAGAGCAGAGCACGGCCTGCTCCAGGCACTGCGCAGTCAGCCCTTTGCGCGCTCCCTGGCCGAGTGCCGCGCGCAGCTGGACTGCTTGGCTTCGGCCTTTGCCACGAAGCTGCAGCAGCTCCTCACAAAGCTGCAGCAGGCCTTGGGCTGTTGGAAAGGAGCATGTTTCTGGTCCGGGCTTAAAAATAAATATAAGTATTTTGGGTAGTGTTTTTTGGTGTATGTTGTGTCGTTTGGGGAACTTGTGAGAAAGCTCCATGCGAGAGCTCAATTTTGAGGCCAAACTCGAGGACGCTCTATGCAGGAGCTCAATGTAGTGTCAAATTGTGTTAAGGTCCACGCAAGAGAGTTCAATCTGCTAGGATGCTCCTGCAAGAGCTCAATAAATGATAGTGAGGATTGGGATAGAAATGAGAGTAAATGATATTTGTTGTAGTAGTAATCAAAGTAATCATAACAGCAGTGACAACATGAGAAGATGCATCCTTCATAATAATGATGATAAGAATCATAAGCAACGGACGCATAACAATGGTATTAGCAGTCGTGATCCGCATAATCTTCCTTTACCGGGCCGGGGCCAACGTTTACGCTAGGGAGGCTGGAGGGAGGCCTAGGACCAACCTCTGAAAAACACATGGTAAGTTCTGAATCTTACCATCGCGGGCCGGCATGCTTGGACAGTTCTGAATCGGCAAAAAAGACAAATTCTCCGAAAATTGAAGGGGATTTGGCTAGGAGGAGGCTTAGGACCAAGCTCTACATGCCCAGGCGCCTAGACCGGGGTCGGCGGATGGGTTTACTCATTGCGAGATGAGGAACTTTGGGGGTAGGTGTAGTCAGGGTTGGCCCCAGGCGGAGGTAGAAGTCGTGCATTGCCAGGAACAGGAGGCCACCTCCAGCACCTGTTTTCCATTCTGCGCGTCAACATTCCTCCTCAATCCGCAATCCGAAGGGTCACCGTCTGAATGTCAACCGCGCGTGTTTTGAAAGAAGGTCCTCCGCGCACCTCCCCGCACTGTTGTGTCACACCCGCACCCAAAACTGCCTAGCACGATTCCCACGACACCCTTGCGCAAAGTTGATCTGACATTATGAATTATCATGAATAGAATTGGCCAATGCATCTCGCCGCGGCCAGTGGCGGCCTGGCGGCAGCTTTGGCTTCAATCTTTGGAAGCGTCTTGCCGTTGCGCGCTTGCCATCTGATCCCGAATCTGTGGAATCCGCAGAGTCCGCAGTAAGCGTCATGCTCTCAGCACGGATGCCCCTCACCGATGTGTTCGGCGCGGGAAAGTCACCCAACCGCTACCAGCGCTTTAGGTGGCCCAAGTCAAGCTCTGAAGTTGGCTTTGGCTCATTTCGTCCCCGTGGCCACCCGATTGGCTTGGTGGCCGCTTTTTTTCAGAGGTCTCTCTAAAAGAGGATGTGAGGATCTCTTGGAAGTTTTCCAAGCAGACACAGAATGCTGCGGCTTCTTGAGCGAAGACTATCAGCGCAGCGTCCTGGTCTGGCAGACCAAGGGCGCCACTTGGAGAGATGATGCCAACAGAGGGCGAGAGAAAGAACTTCAAAACACATGTTGTAAAGAGGGCCCTTGCACTTGGCCTGGCAGGAGTTGCCCGAGCTCAGTTTCCTGTGTTGCCGGCTGGACTTCAACGGCTACTATGACACGAGCCTTGAGGCTTGAGCCTCGACAGTGCTGTTAAGCAAAGGGCAAAAGGAACTCCTGTCGAGACTCTTGCACCTTGCCATATCTTGCCATCCTTGCTTCGATTCTGCGTCTCAAGCCGGAGGTATGGACACTGACAACAGCTCCCCAAATCATCTAGATACCAGCATCTGAAACAAAAGAAAGCTACAGACAAGAGCTAGCAGCTAGCAGCAGACACCACATCACGCCTTGCCGCTGCTGCCCTTCGAATGCAGCTCGGTACTCAGTGCTTTGGTGCATGGAGCTTCTTACGATACTGCTGCAACCGTACAGCAATTGCTCTCAATCTATTTAAGGGACCACCTTTCGCTCTAAGGTGCAGCTGGCCTTCCTGTCCTCCAGGCAAGGCAAATGGCAAATCCATGCCAAGCTTGGGAGAACTGAGCTCCTGATCTCAGTGCTGCAGGCCTAGACCACGCAGGCCACGGGCGCATGCGGGCGGATGCAGAAACCTTGCGACCTTGTGTGATGTGTGCAGGATGGGGATCGGATAACGGCGGCCCGGAGGCCTCGTTTCTTCACACCTTCGCCGTCCCCTCCCCAAAACAGAAAGCCGCCTTTCTGTCGAGGAGGTCACCTACGCCTGCGAGTACTGCCGCACCAAGTACAACAGCTACGGAGAGGCCGAAGCTTGCGAGGCGGGACTTTTGCGAAGCGCCAGAAGTGAAGCCGCGAAGCCGCAAAGCCGCGAAGCCGCGAAGCCGCGAAGCGCGAGTGCGGTGCCTCGATGCCACGATGCCACGATGCCACTGCCTTGCCTGGAGCTTTGGAGCTTCGCTTTGCAGCTTCGAGGCTGCCTGCCGGTCCCGGTCTCTGCAGGCAAAGCTTCGCTGGCTTTCTTTTTTTCTTACCCCTTTTACCCTCTGACTTCAGGATGGCAACAGCTCGACACCCAAAGCAGCGCATGCAGCGCCTCTGCCGCTGCCGCCTTCTGCACCGGCCTGCGGGCAGCGACCCTCAGAGAGACCAGCTGCAACGTCTTCCGTGTCTTTTGTCTGTTTAATTTGCCTGCCGCTTTGCTGAGACCGGTTCTGGGCATGCCCTGCACGCTTCAACAGGCAGGTTTCTGATTTGGAGCCATCAAAGCTGTCTGCCCTTTTTCTTAGTTTCTCTTCATTTCTGGGAGTTTAAGCCAATTGATGGGTTGTAGAGGCCTCTGCGGTCCCGCCATGGGCTTAGCCAGCCGAACTGTGAGTGAACAAGCTGGATCCCTGTTGGGCTTGACTTCAATGCTTTGCAGTGCTTTGCAGTGCTTTGCAGTGCTTTGCAGGCTTGCCGCTTGTGCCCCTAGCATGTGCTCCTCTCAGCTAGAAAATGGAGTGGCCGCCAGAGGAGCAACGCAGGGAATGGAGTGGAAATGTGCCTGAGGCCTGCTTATCGTACTTGGCTGAGAGCTACAATGCGAGCTGCAACAAAGAGAACAGGAGTAAGGTGAGATGAGAATGATGAAAGGGGAAGATCCTTCGGCTTTAAGGTCCTTACTCGGGGCCTCCTGGGCCTGGGCTACAGTGTGGGCCTTGCATGCCTCGCCTGAGCTCTGGCTGCGAGATTTCTCTCCACCTGAGGCGGCCGGAGCTAGTGCAAAGCCGAGTGCTGCAGCCTCACAGCTTTTTGCTGCTTGCCTTCCTTCCTCTCAGGCGGCTCTGCTATCAGGGGGCAAGGGAGCCCTGCGATTGCCTTGGGTGGCAAGACGTGGCAAGACGTGGCAATCATCTGCACTCCTAGGATTGGCAAGGGTCTGCAGGTTCTCGCTGCCAAGGGCGTGCTTCGCCTGGCTTTCAACAAGAATTAGCAGCTTAGCAGCTAGATCTCACAGTTTATTTCTCAGACTTCGCAAGGTACTTCCTGGTTTGCTCGGCAAAGGCTGAGAGCTGAGAAGCGCTGAGAAGTGAGAAGGGAAGGGACAGTATAAGAAATGAACATGAAGAGTCCAAGAGCTGAGCGATGGAGCGATGCCAGCTTAACTGCTCAGCTTGGCGGTTTGGCAGCTCAGAGGCACTGACCTCCGCAAGGGCCCAGGCGCTCCCACAGGCGCTCCCATGGGCGCTCCCACAGCTTCGATGCTCCAAACTCAGAGCCTCCCAGAGCCTTTCCCTCTCTCCATCACACCTACGCTGAGGGCGTCGACCGCTGCAGTGCCCCAGTGTTTGACTCAACTTCGTGTGCTACTACTGCACTCCCGTACATGCTTATGGAGCCAGGAGCGTGTCGGACCCCTTCCTCGAACAGGTTCAGGGCTTCATGGAGCGTGTGGCCCCAAGAAAAGGGAGCAAAGACGCAATGAAAAAAAAGAGCTCCAAAAAAGCGAAGCCAAGGCTGGGATCTGGAGAAGCGCTTCGAGCCCAAGCTGGTTGCGAGCCCCAAGAGCGCTTGAGCGCTTGAGTGCTTGGGCGCCTGTGATTCGGCTCATTTCGATTTCAGGTGGCGTACCTGAAGCGGCCCGGGGCTCCCTCCCTGCAGGAGCAGAATTCGGGGCATGCACAAATTGTTTTTTGAGGACGTTGAGGAGTTGAGGAGAGATACTTCAAACTTTTGAGTTGTGTCGACATGTCGAAGGAAGAGCTGCAGCGGCTGGAACGGGAGCTAACGCATGCGGGCGTCCCTTTGGATCGCATTTTTCAGTCCTCAGTTGCACTCAGGGTTTAGGCGGCCAAGTGCCCGTTCACACCCGTTCACACCCGTTCAGGTCCCGCCAGTTTGTCGATCTGGGTACCTGCTCGTGGTCTTCGGGGAGGCCTCATCAAAACTCATTCTTTTCACGCGTAAAGTGAAATGTAGCAACATGTAGACGTGAAAGGGCAACCGGGTGTGACGTTCACGCACGTTAGCCTTCCGCGACTTTCCGCACCTTGCTTGGCTGTGCTCATGCCAGGAAACAATCTAGCAGCTAATCTAGCACTTTCAAGTTCAGCACTGTAACAGCATTCCAAACGATGCGAGTGCAAGACCTGGTGAGGATGCAAGGGTGGACCGGGCGGGATTTGAGATTTGCGCTAGGCGGAGTTCAGTTCATTTCTTGAAGGACATTGGCTGCAACAGAAAAGAAGTGGAAGTTTCGTGGCTCCATTGCGTGACCCTTTATCGCATTCTTGTTGTAGGCCAAGAGGGGCAGGCGGCTAGTGTGCACCTGCACCAGACCATGAAAGTAGAACATGATCAAATGGAGGTCATTTGGGCGTGCCATAACAAAGAATGTATACAGGAATTAGGGATCCTCTTGAAGTTGACTGTTTGCAGTACTACCCTTCATTGCGGACAGCGCAATTTTTACGGTTAGGCGAGCCTCTACGAAGTAACCAACAAAGCGAAAGCAAAAGACAGCAGCTTGCCGACAAGAGTGCTTATTGGGAGTCCGAGGCCAAATCTTGCAGGTTAGATCTGAAAGGGTTTTTTTCGCTGCGAGGCTTTGTCGGAGACGTGCCACAGTCAGCTGCGCGGGATCTGGGTTGTGCTTGTAGTGGGGCTGATTCTTGGTCTCTGCCTTGGATATATTCTTGGGTGTTGGATTCTTCGCGACTTTGGGCGACAGGCCCGGGCAGTTGCGGGGGAACTATCCCCCAAGGTTGGGTCCAAACAGGCCCCTTGTGGTGAGGGGGAGCCCGTAGAGGAGTTCCCTGCCGCTCGAGCGCGTGCTCGTCTGCTACGTGGATGATCCTGCCCTTTACTATGCAAGGGTTATTCTGCGGTGCTATGGTGAGGACAAAGTGCTGGTTGCCGCTCCGGATCGTGAAGTGTTTCGCACAGATTTGGTGGTACGGGAGACTTATTCAGACATAAAAGAATTTCTTCTACCAGGTTGCCAGGCGGGCTCACCGAGAACGACACCTACCTGGCTAGAAATTCTGGCGAAGGAAACTTCAGTCACGAGGAGTTGCTGGGGATGGTTCAGGACGCCGACAGGCAGGAGGCCCCTCGGCGGCGCATTGCAGTCAAGTTGGGGGACGATGGTCAAAGGCACCCCGCCCCAAAGACTATGGTCAACAGGCTGCCGATCGAGGTGGGCGATTTGCCAGAAGTTTGGGTGGTGTGCTTTAGCTCTTGTAAGGGTCGTGGAGTGATGTTGGTGCAGGGTATAGACGCCGTGGATGCCCCGACACTCTGTGCCAGCCTTAAGACCATGACTGGGGATGGCGCCGAGGACCATGGCAAGGACCTTCGGGTTTTCCAGGTTGAGGACTTTTGCGGAGGCTCTGCCTGAGCACGAGGAAGTTGACTTCGAAGACTTCCCGCTGCAGGGGCCTGGCACCTTGTTCAGAGACATGCGGCAGTTGCGAAGAATGGGCATGGACTTTGCTCAACACCACCAGTCTTGGCTGAAGAAGTCGGTGTTCGTCCCTCAGATCGTTCGGTCTATGAACATGCATGCGTCTCTTTGCCGAGCTTTGAATTACCTTGCTTGCTGCGACCAACTTGCCAGCACTGGCCGGAGCCGAATCCCGAAATCGACGCCGAGCCCTCATCGACATGGCCCATCAAGGACGACCAGAAGCACCTTCTTACGAATGCGCTGAGGATGTGATGGGCGTCAGGGAGATGGCAGATGGTTCGGTGGTCGATCCGGCATTGACTCAGCACGCTGCAAAGCGTCAGGCGGCCAAGGGAGATCATGAAGCAAATTCGCATTGCCTGAAGAGAGGCGTCGCCTAAACCGCAGAGGAGACGATAAAAGGGGGAGGTAAATCGAACAAGAACCAGAATCAGGGCGCCCCCTGAGTTGGGGGGGGCCTTTGAGTCAGAAGGTGCTGGGCTGGAGGCTTCGGATTTTGAGGGCGCCAAACAATTTTCCCATGAGCCGCGGCAGCGTTGGGGGGATGCGTTTCCCATTCCACTTTCCGTTGATGGCGGATTTGGTGGTAGTGAGGCGCCTTTGTGGTCGAGACGCTCCAGGCAGCGGGTGCACAGGAGAAGCTTTTGTGGACCGGGCTCGGGGGACCGCTTGGGCGCTTAACTTGCTCGCCGGGCCGGGTTTGAGGATT